ATAGATCTGAGGCCAGTTCAGCTGGGAGTTTATTGCACCAGGATGTGACTCACTGAGACTGGCTTTGTGTGGACTGGCTTCCGGTGTGTGCTGCGTCCCTAACAAAGTCAGTTCCTTGAAAAGCTGTGCTAAGGAATTTCACCTGTCCAGAGCACAAGTGTTGTGATGATCTGGCACACCCCCACTGTTATCTGGGGAGAGACCACAGCCCCAGTTGTTCTCAAGCCCCAGTTGTTCTCAGAGAGGAATTTGAAGCAATTCTAGCTGCATTAGGGAGCCTTCAGATTCACTGGTCATGCCTCAGTTAGCATGAGTAAGATTATGGGGCTGAACTTGACAGCATATATCCTATTTCCTGTCTCAGCTTGCCTCGTCCTGGGCTCCGAGCATGAGACCCGTCTGGTGGCAAAACTATTTGAAAATTACAACAGCGTGGTGCGGCCAGTGGAAGACCACCGCCAGATTGTGGAGGTCACTGTGGGCCTGCAGCTGATCCAGCTCATCAATGTGGTGAGAGGAGTGTCCCTGGGTCCCCCGCAGCCACCTCACACCCTGGCCTCACATCCCTCCGGCCCCCTCTCTGGCCACTAATGCTGTGCTCAATCTTTTTCAGGATGAAGTCAATCAGATCGTGACAACCAACGTTCGTCTGAAACAGGTCATTCCACTAGATGGCTACACTATAATGTTTTTCACCCTAGGACCAAAGGAAATCAATTTAGGTTACAGGGACATATTGAAAGTGAATATTTTGGCACAGTGGGTTTTGTAGGTCATGTTTTCTTTCTTTGGGTTTTTTCTATGTAACATATTTTCTGGGAGAGAGAGATAGAAAGGGAGAGATGGAGACAGGGGGAGAGAAAGTGAGGAAGAGAGACAGAGTAGGAGCAAGGGAGGGAGAGATGGAGATGTCTGGTATAGCAAAATGAGTTAAGATCGTGGCTTCTATGTTAGCAGTTCAAACTTACCTCAAGACACTCATGAGATAGGCCTGGTGATGTGCTTCTGAAAGGCCATGATTTTGAAAACGCTATGTAGCAGTTAAACTCTGTACACAAGGTGTTGTCATGAGTTGGAGTCAACTCAAAGGCAACTAACAACAAAATAATACATGAAAAATATATATTATATACATATATATGGAGCTGGAGAGAGAATGATCGAATTTTGCACAATCAATGATTTATTCATAGCAAATACATTTTTAAGAGACATAAACGCAGGTTATATACCTGGATTTCACCTGATGGTATGCATAGGAATCAGATTAATTACATCTGTGGAAAGAACCGCTGGAGAAGCTCA